GGTCACTGGGGTTTCCAGCTCCTCAGAGGGCAGCTTTCTTGCCTGGATTTAGGAATTTTCCCCTGGCCAGATACAGGGCTTTTAGGGCCTCATTTATTCTCTTTCCTTTGTGTTAAGGGGGCCAGTGAATCTCACCATAGTTATCCAGCTAGGGAAAAACACGGTTCTTTAACAGCAAATACATTTTTCTCCCTACAAAGCCCAGGGCAAATGAACAATATTCTAATATAGTCTGATCACAATCCTGATTACAAAATTAGCATCTGTAATGTAAATGAAGGCTCAGTTGCAACACTGAAGATAAGATGCATTTATGTTGGCTCTCTCCCCTAAAAATTTCCCACTATTGCAACTTCACTTTCTACTAATAAAGGCAGGAGCAGTCATGTCAACAGGCTACAGGTGTCTTAACAAATGCAACTCGGAGAGAATCAAAGTAAAATTATTTAAATAATTGGCATCCATGAGAGCCTGATTTCCATTACTACTGCTGCTGATGCTAGTTATAAGAGCAAATTTACAGAGAAAAAATAGCAAGACTCAGCCCTCAGTTGTCTCTTCTCACATATAATAAAGGAGATATTTTTTTAGCTCTCCTCATTTTACCCGTCTGTGATTTTGTGGTGGCCATATAGCTCTGGTTCTGAGGTAGCAACTGATGAAGGCCTGGGAGAGGGGGCAACGGCGCTGGCTTCCCAAACTCCAAGACACTTTTGTTGCCTTCTTCCTTTGATTCTTTTTGATCTCTGGCATCTCTCCCTTCTTTGGGATCTCTATTTGCATGCTGGAAGGAGGAAAGAAGAAAATTAAAATATTTAAAATGAGCCCTTGCATCCAGATTAAAGGTTGCTAGATATATCAAAAACAAACAGGCAACCAATTTAATCCCACCCAGTCACACACACAAACACACACTCCCACAGCTGAAGATGAGAGTGTGTATCCAGAAGTAAATATTTTAGATTTCCATCCTTAGCTGTCATATCCATGCAATATTGCTTTGACTAATGCCTACAACATTCTCTCAAGCCACTTGTCCCTTGATGATGGATTCCTTTTAAAGCATAGGACTGTACAGAAAAGAGATAGCTCATCCAAAGCAACTATAGATTAAAAAAAAAAAATAGAGTAGATACACAGGAAGAGCACACACCGACTGCTGAAACTTCCTTAGCCTGACGAAGGGTTTTTGAACCCGAAAGCTTGCTTAATAACTACTCCCCAACTATTTCGGTTGGTTTAATAAAAGATATCAGATTCACCCAAGGAACCTTGTCTGAGTAGATACACAGGCATTTGATCACCTCTGGAAGAAATGAGCTAATGCAACGCATCTGCCTGTTCCCTGAAATAGAGTCAGAGTGTAGCTGACACACTAGAGCAACAACTCTCAACAAGTGTGCCACAGCACCCATGTATGCCTTGAGATCCTTTCAGCAGTGCTGCAAGGTACTATGCAACACAAGTACTATGTTAGGTACAAGATAAACCCAGAGATTTCAAATGGGAATCCATAATGTTTACATATGTTCTGATTTCTTGTGATCTTTCTAAGTTCTCTGGAACAAAAGAATTGCTCTATTATTTTTCTGTAGTTAAAAAAAAAAATGAGGGAGAGAGTTTCTGAGGGGTGCCTGAAGTCTAACAAAGTTGAGCACCACTGCATTAGAAGGTGAATTCAGAAAGGCAACAGTCTCCCACTCAACTATTTTACTAGGGCTTAAGGAAGATGCATAATATTGGGAAAGGATTCTCCTATGTTTGTACAATGCCTAACACAACAACTAGGATTTTTAGGTGTTACCACAATATAAATAATATAAATAGAAGAAAATAAGGCATCTTCATTGTATGCAACTCTTAAGAGCACATCTCAAGTGCTCCGTCTACTATGGCTGCACTGAAATATAGATATAGGAGGTATTTTGGATACCTGTGGCAATCTAGTTGTAGAAGGGCAGAGCTCGGGTTGGACTGTGAACACCATCCAAGTATGTGCCCAGCTTCTTGGGCTGATTTTGCAACCTTAACCAAGCACTGTGCTGTTATGGCTAGATGACTACTATTTCCTGTAGTTGCTTTGCAGCTAACTCAAGTACATCCGTAAGATGTGCAAAGACTTTTCTAATGCTTACAGAAGAGACTTAGAGCCAGTATCCCTAATAGGTCCTACAACCTATGCAGTTATTGACCTCAGGGCATAGAGGATACAAATGCCATTCTGATTTGACAGCATTTTACACTAACCTTAGCTCATTCAAACCTGCTGTGCCTCTGTTTACCCAGCTGTCAAGTGAGCTTGATATCAAATGGCCTCATGGAGAGGGAGATGGTAGATGGAAGGTGCTATAGAAATCCTACAGTCCTGTTATTGGATTGCTACAATGTTTTGAGGCTGTTTCATATGGAAAACAAAGAATTATGAACAAAAGGTAAAAACAGCTACAGAGAGAGAGACTTTAAGCCCCCTTTTCACCCCGCCACCCCCACCAGACTTGGATCAGGGATCCATTTTCAGATACTGCTTTCAAGTAATATGACCAGATGAAAAAAATGGAAAAGTAACTGGTTATTCTAATCGCGGCCAGCCAGAGGAGTATTACATGTAGACAGCCAGGCATTGGCCATAACCTATTAGGCCAGAAGCAGGTGTTATAATCCTCAAAACCATCCTGAAAAAAAAATAAAATAAAACAGCCCATAGAACTTCATCTAGCCATTCCCCTTCATCAAGCCCATTACTTCAGACTGAGCTAAACGGTCTACTTTAGAGGGATATCTGTCTTGATTTAAAGCTAAAGTAATGTCATATACTATTTCTCTTAGTTAGCTGTTCCAATGATTAACTATTCTGTTAAAACATTAGATGTTTTATGCCTTTCCCTGCTAAAGTAAATATCCCATTATCATCAAAAATACTCTCCAGACATAGGTGCTTACAGACAACAATCATGTCACCTCTTAATTTTTTATTTGATAAATTCAACAGATTGAACTGCTCTAGTTTCTAAAGGCAGGTTTTCTAGGCCTCAAATAAATCCCGTGATCCTTCCAAACCATCCTTTATCATCCAAAATATGGACAACAGCACTTGTCTGTGTTCCAATAATAGTCTTGGCAATGTGATATATGCCCACTTGATATTCCCCTGCTTATACATCCCAAGGATCTCATTAATCCTTAGACCCAGGATCACAATGAAAATTCCTATAAGAACTCCTAAATCATTGAAAAAAAACATTGCTTCCCACACCAGAGTCCCCCACCACACAGAAAGCCTGCATGTACAGCTCATATTCTTTGCCCTTAACCCTTGAGAACTGGTGACCAGATCTTTGAGGAAGTGAGGCAAGGCACTGTCAGGCTCAATAAAGACAGAAAAATACTATTACCTACATATTTTTGTAATCAGATCTCAGATCCCTCCTGATACATGGAAGCTGTTGGTAAACAGCAACTTTCAGTAGCAACCATTGCAGAACAATTTGGAGATTGAATTAGGTCTGAAGTCATGTCATTCCAGAGCCTATGCAAGTCCCTGAATCTGATACATGGAGGCTTGTGCAGCGATGCTGAACACGTAAAAAGGATTTCTATGTACAGGTGCTACTGGTTCCCTTGAAGCCTGAGGGAGTAAGAAAGAGCTCAGCAGCCCTTCAGTGAGGACCATCATACACAGAAAAGGTCTGTGTTAAAAGGTTGGAACCAGGCTTGAAAACGGACACTTTCCTTATGCTCTTCCCAACCTCAGCCAGATGACTAGGAGGATACGTGCAACTGAAACCGTGCCATCCTCTGCTCTCCTTATAAAACTAATGAGCAAACTCTTTACATAGATGTCATGAAATCCACATCTAGCTCATCTACCAGAGACCAGTAACATGTGCATGTACCCTAGAGCAGTTTCTTCTTCTCTATCCAGTCCAGGTTTCTAGATAAAGGTTGCAAAGCCTTTCCTGCAAAGATTTTCTGAGCCTGTTGCATTTCATTGTTAGAGTTTCCTTGAATAGTAAGCTTAAAATATCCTTAACTTCATCTGGTTATTCCAGGATATACTCAAGCAAAACTGCAATCCTACCCTGCAAACTTATTTCAGTGCATCCTTCACTGCCTCAGCCACAACCATGCTTGGTGCGCATGCTAAACTGATCTCGCTTAATAGAGGAGTGTGGCAGGGGGAGGGAAGCAATAAGAATGAGACCAGCATGGGGTCAATGTGAGTCTGGATTATGTTGGAAAACAATGGACAGAGTTGTTAGAGAGAGGGGGAAAAAAAGGAGAGAGGAGGTGGAAGGAGAGACTGCAACATGACCCTACCAGAGAAGATCTTCCTTCCTAACTCAACACAGCTTATCAGCAGAGAACAGAAGTAGCAGTATGCATCCCACTGGAATACCAACCTATCCTTGGTGGGGTGGGGGCAGATCTCTATGACTGGGAAGCTCTGTGGATGAAGTTCTGTGTCCTGAGCCATGACTAGCACTAGACCTACTAATTTCTTACCCTTTCCTTCCTCTGCCCTGCTCAGACTATCTTCTCTGTTATCAACACTGCTCAGGCCATGTGTAGCTCTACACTGGGAACCCCTTTGCAAGGGTTTTCCTGTCCACTATTGCACAGGTTTCTTCTTCCTTGGAGGCTCTCTATTGTTACAACAGAGCTGCGTCTCACACACTGTGGCGCACCTGAGTATAACTGTGAAAGTCATTATTCAAGGCTTTGTACCAGGTAAGTACATCTCTCTCTTTCTTTCTGATCAAAGAAGAGACACTATGGCTCTCAGTTATGGCTAAAAGCAGAGACCATTCCAGGACATTTTGGAGGGAAGAGCTGATTTTAAACTCCACACGTTCAACTACAGTTACTACTGCGGGAAAACATGCTCAGACAATAAAGGCTTCTACTGCAGAACAGGCAGGACATGTACATGGGGACTAGCTACTAACCAAACCCGTTGCAACATGTCTTCCCCACGTTCTGGAAGAACTCTCCTTTAAGCCATCTTGGACTCCAGGGACCACTTACTAATTGGTTTTTCTGAGGACAAGTGTACCCTGACATCCCTCTAAGCTCTTTTCATAGAGGCCACCAAACTTGACTTTCTGTAGCTGGTAATGATTTTCTGCCTAGAGCAGGATCTGAACTGGAGACCTAAAGATGAAAAACTTTGCAACTCATGAGCAGAGTAAAAGAATCAGTAGAAATCCCTGAAGCTTGGCCATCTTTTCCCCCATACAGAGGAGTTCAAAGGTTACATCCAATTTCATACCCCGTGAAGATGGGGAAACGAAAGGGGGGAGACTCTCAAATATTAGCCACGTGGTGGTTAGTCTTTTACTAGCAAAATATCCACCTGGCCAATTTGCTACTGGCAAATCCAAGCATGTTTCTGCCTCATCTCCTCAAAGTCCAGATTCTTCTTCAGGCAGCTGGAGGACTTCAGCTAAGATGAAATTGTTTGGACTAATAAATCTGGAGCCTCCCAGTTGACACTTGCCTGGACTAGGCTGGCTGGTACCAGCAATCTGGAAGTCAGAATCTCTATACAGGTTTCCCTCGCCAACTGCGGGGGTTAGGTTTCAGAAAGTACCTGTGGTTGGCAAAACTATGGTTGGTAAAACTAAAGGCTTATGGGGAGAATGGAGTTAGGGACTTGAATACAGTACAGTATAGTGTATAAAAATCATTTTTACTTACCTTTAATACACAGGGTGGTCACCGGGCATAGGCATACCCCTAGGGGTACTTAGGTTATAGGGGGTAGGCACCAGCGGGCAGGGACAG